AAAAAAATAATTGTTTTATTAAGTAATTAGCAATAATTATTATTATTTTTGCTAAAAATATTAATATAATTAATCCAAATTACTAAATTACTAAAGCATTTTTGTAATAAATTATTAAAATAAAGATTTAATTATTTTAAACAACATTGCATTCTTTATTTAGTTACAAGTATTGATTATTTCACTTTCCTTGATAAATCCCATGCATCGCACAGGTCCCCGCTAGTAAAGTATTAACGCCCCAGCCATTAACTACATATTCCCCACAATCACTCCAATTGATGGTTAAATAGCCCCTAAAAAAGTTAATCCAACTAAAAACTGGTGGACCGGTCTCAGATTTAGAAAATTGGTCGTTTGTTAGGCTATTTTACTAGAACACCCCCTATAGTTTTACAGATTTATTTAAACCTACCCTATAGTTTGAATTTTACTAAAACACCCCTTATAGTTTGCAATATATTTACTTTATCAACCTTTCATTAAGAACTATTTGTTTTGCCATTTGAAAATAATAACATGATCACCTAAACTAGGTGGAAAATATTTAAGGGCGTGGACCCATGATTGTTTATTCCAAAAGTACCCCTAAATCAAGTGGAAAATGTTTAAGGGCATGGATCCATGGTTGTTTATTCCAAAAGTACTCTTAACATTTTTTTTTTGTATAGAAAACAAAATTGACCAAATTGAGAAAAATGGAGTGGTTGTCCATGTTTTACTAGGGGCAAAAATAGAACTTTTATTTTTAGTTGATTTTGGTTAAATTTATTTGATCTTATGTTTTAGTAAAACATAAATTATAAGGTAGGTCTTAGTATATTCATGAAACTACAGGGGGTGTTTTAGTAAATGAGCCTTCTTTTACATTGTTTGATATAAATGCAAATTTTTGAAGGCCATAACTCTGTGCTCATATGTTTAATTGGAGTGGTCTTTTTTCTATTAGTGATAACTTTTTGAGATTTACATGTTTCCAAGGAGCTAATTAGTTAAAGGCATCTTGCCCCACTGTTTTTGCCATTTTTTTACCTAAAATCTTAACTTTTAATATAAAAAATTTGGAACTAAAATAAAAAGATATATATTATAGCATCATATATACATATACATCACCACGGTTCAACCCTGGTAGAACTTTTGACATTTAAACCTCTCCCTTTTCTAGGTTAATGTCCGGTTTAGTTCTTTTAACTTTGCAAAGTACAAGTAATTTTGGGTTTGAAAAATACAACAGCGAGGGGAGGACTCCACGTGAAATGGAATCTAGAATGTGTATGTGGATAAACATATTGGTGGCCCTTATTAAGGATTGCAATCCAAAGGTTTTAAAGGACATTACAACTTGAAGTTTTTACAATAATATTCTATAATCTTTATATTTAGAAAATGGTCACTATCTGTCAATTTTCCCATCACTGCTAGATCTATGTTGAAGTCAGCGTGGGCAATTTGGGACTTAGGGTTATAACTTTTTACGTTTCTCTATTTTCCTTTAATTCATTTTGTTTTTTTCTTCATATCACATCTCTCAAACAACTCAATCTTATCAACTCTAATTTATCTCTTCAAACCTAAAGATGGCAAATTTTTGCTTTGCCATTGGGTACTCAATATGATTGGGTTGGAGATGGAGATTGTTTTTGTGATTAATAGGGATACTTGATTGAGGAAAACGATGGAGATGGGGAGTGAATTCCCCACCTTGCCCTGACCCCAACACACACACGCGCGCACACACACACACTATGTTTTACGCTTAGAAAACTTTTAATTTAAAAACAAAATAGAGATTTGGGTCCCTGATGGTGAACCTATCTTCATCAGAACTAAAAAATGGAGGTTAATCTTTCTCCTTGACGTGGATCAGGGTTGAGAATAGGGAATATAGTCTCCACTCTGAACCCACCCTGTTATGGTTAAGTTGATATTATGATAATGCTTGCCCCCATTAATCAAAGTTCTTAGATTTAGCATTGCTCTTGTAATGATTCCATTACTCATATTTCTATGTTTGGTAGGAGCTAAATATTTCATGTTGCACTCCTTGTTTTTGCACGTAGAAATTCTTAACTCAAAAAATTGTATAATTCGTAATTACATATTAACGTCTCTTTAAGAGAATTCATTGAACAACAATGTAGAATATAGGGATATAAGTTGGAATTATTCGTGAAAAGAAAAACATAAAAAGGGAATCATATAGATAAATTTTAGTCATATTGAGATGCACAACATATACAAAGAATAATTTGCTAAGTGTCCACCAATATCTCCATCTAAATATAGGTATTTTGTACATTCAATCCATATCAATCAATAATCCTTGAACATTGATTGGGGAATCCATCTCCATAACCTAATGGTCATGATATGGTGCAATAAATCATCTGTTACTTTATCTGTAAGATATGGTGTTTTCACTTAACTTGATCAGTTATTCTCGAATACTATGATATTTCAAGTGTACTCGTATAATTATGGAATGCATAAAAGAACTTTGACAACAGCAAGTTGAAGGGATTAGAAGGGGTAGGAGTAGACCAAGAAGGACATGGGTAATGATTTAAGTGCTAATAGTTTTAACAATGGATGTGACATTAATTAGAGCGGTGAAACAAGATTCATGTAACAAAGCCAAAATGGTTGGGATAAGGACTGGATTATAGTGACAATGATGATTCACATATCAATAATTGGTGAATAAGGCCATGATGAATGAAGTCGTGGTTAATGAATGCATCGAGTCCAAAGGACAACATACATCATAAGCTAAGGCCTTGAATGAAGTGAATACAAAGCATGCATTATGCTTCTACTTTGGTACTTCAAAAATCGTTTAGCTGAAAAAGTATGTTTTTTTTTTTTTTAATTTTTACATTATCAATCACGTGACATCTATATATGTTGTTATATCATATATCCAAATTCTATGTGGCACATGACATTTATACATTCAACCATTTGACACACACATGTTGTCTAATGTAAGGGTTTTCATGAAAAACCAAAAAACTGAACCGTGAAAATCGAACCGAAAAATGTGGTTAATTGAATCGATCGGTTTAGTATTTTTGAAAAATCGAAGGATTGGTTCAATTTTTGGTTACCCTAGAAAAAAATCGACGGTTAACTGAACCGACCGGTATATATATTTATATGTATATTTTATATATATTTTAAATATGTCACATATTTTTTATATATTATATAAATATATATGCATTATATATAAATATATTATATATCATTTATTATTTATAATATAATATTATACATATATTTATATAATATGTATTCTGAATATAAAAATCTGAAAAACCAAAAAACCAAACCAGTTAAAAACCAAAACCGATAGACCAATTAATCGGTAGTACTGGTTCATTTTCGGTTTTGAGAAATTAAAAAACTGGTAGGACCGGTTAGGTTTGCAAAAAATGTCTATGATTCGGTTAACCGAACCGTAGACACCCCTATCCTAATGCATTCTAATGCCATGTATCATCTATATATGATGCCATGTGCCCCATAATTTCCCTGAATATATTCAAGTGCTGTGCATCATCAATATATATTGCCATATGGCACGTGTCCTTAATGCCATGCAACATCCATATATAATTTCCATGTGACACACGTCACCAAATGCATTGAAATGCCATGTGCCATCTATATATGCTATTAGGTGGCATAAATGTGTCATTAAATATATTGAAATGCCATCCATCATCCATACATACTGACATGTGACACATGACACACATCTTTATATATATATATATATATATATATTTATTTATTTATTTGATGACACATGCAGTTGAATACATTGATATGCCAAATGCCACATGGGATCCATGTATATTGCCACATGGTGGGGAGTATTGATGCACAAGTTTTAGAAAATTTCAAATATTTTAGAGGTTCAAAAGCACAAGTATGAAAAGTTGTCTCCATGTTTTTCATGCTTTTACTTGAAAAAAAAAACACATGAAACAAGCATAAACATGTGTTTTTGTACTTTCAAAAGTATGAAAATATTTTGAAAAACCTATCTAAACAGCACCTAAACTCTACTCATGACTTACTCTCTAATCTCCCTCAGTGACACTAACACATATGACAACAAGAAAGAACATGTGGCACTTTATTCTATTAATGTTAAATAATTTGCGCCTAAAGTCTTGCAAATATATTTGGAAAACTATAAAACACTAGATGGTGCCAAAACATATGCTGCTCATATAATAAGACCCCCACTACAGGGCCAGTACTAGAACCCAACAAATAATTACATACAGATGGAATTGAATTTTCCGACTCCAGTGGACAAGTTGGACAAGGCAACCGGCTTTAATAGAGAACCCAAACTGAGAAGTGCACTTAAGACGGTGAAATTTCCACCAAAAGCTCCATTTGATTGTATACCTTAGCGAGGAGTCTGAGGGATTAGATGTGAATATTGAGGTATTCAGGCATGGAAGCAGGATGTAGTAGAGCAAGGTAAATTTGAGGTGTTCAAGAGTAGAGAGCCACTGCGTACGCACTTGCTGATCCAACCAAGTCCTATTCACCCACCCTAGGATTTTAGTATCAAGACATCCGATTCAAAGGGGAATAATATACTTATAAAATAAAATAATTAAGTTTTGAAAATTGAGCCAGGAAATTAGGAGGGGTATACTCTTCAAAGGTGGCCAAATGTCCTAACTGCCAGGATTTGGCCTATTGTAACCCAAAAACCACGATATGCCTGATACACTCCGTCCCACCAACTGAACTGTATTCAACATTCTGAATTCTGTACCTATGTGGTTTACCTAAGTGTCCAGGTTTTATAATATAGACATCTAAAAGTCAGACATCAACCCTGACTTTGAGAAACATGAGAAGGATAAAAAGCCAGAATACTAACTAGCATTTCTGACTGATGCATCAGTGAACCACGAAAAATATAATATACGAAAATTCCAATTCCCAATATCATCAAGAAAAACTTAGAAGCGAGAAGCTGCAAGATTGATCACTTATTTACATCAATGCATAAAAGAAAAACCCTTTATTCATCTCTCAAATCTTACAAGAGGGTACATAAAAATTCTCCACCCTTTCATTCAGAGCATTAGTATTACAAAGTAGTCAATTTACATATGCCCAAAGACTTACCATTGATACCTGCTTCAAGAAGAAATATCATTGTACTGATCAATACCATCTTTGTATTCAAAGAAACTGTAAAACCAATGGCTGGGAAAGCTTGGAATTGCCCAACTTGTCCTAACAAAAACAATGCTCAAGGACTGTTACAGCTGCAAAAACCAGTTTTAGCATTCTTGTGTGGCAAGACCATCCTGTTCTTGGCTGGTCAGCAAGAACTACTTCCTTGGCAAAAAAGAATCAAGGCATGTATGTACTTCAAGCAGCACCAAATGGAGAGCTGATCAGCTCTGATAATTATACTTCTTATGTTCATTAAGAACTTGGGTTTTGTTCCCGGCTCTTAGCCAACTTTACTTGTATTAGTCTCTCCAAGATTGCAGGCTCAAGAGGAACTGGATCAATAGACCGCTCAGCAGTTGCAACAATCACCTATTCATCAACATCAAATGATGTTTATTCAGTCCATTTGGCAAAGTAAGCAAATGATTTCCCAAGAGCAATTGCAAAGTGGTTCTCAAAATGTGTCAACACTAGAGAATACTTAATATTAGGGTAAAATACAGATAGGTACCCTGTGAGAGGGTTGGGAAGCGAGCTTAGTGAAATAAACTTTGTTAAGAGGGTTGCAGTATGGTGGCTTCAAGAACTTTGGACAAAGTTTATTTCACTAAGAACTTTGTCCAGGCAGCATTGAAGAAATTGCAGTATGGTGGCTGAGTGTCAAGTTGAAGGTGGGCTGGTTTCAGGTTTTTGAAGAAATTGCAGTATGTTAAACAAAATTTGAAATCGTGGAGTAAGGTTATATTTCCCCCAATCTCTGTTGAAAAGAATAGTATTTGGACCGAGTTGAGGGAGCTCGATGAGAAAGACTAATGATTTACAAGTCAGAACTAACTTGCAATCAAAATGGGAGCAGGGGGTCTTCAGAAAACAGATCTACTGGAGACAAATATCTAGATTCTAGTGGATCAAAGAGGGAGACAACGACACTCAGTTTTTCCATAAGTATGCAAATGGGAGAAGGAAGAATTTTTGTTGTTAGATTTAAGTTTTTTACTTCTGCTGTTAGAATGCTGTCAGCCTAGGCTGCTGTCAGCATGTTCTTTTCTTTATTTTTAGGGTGTGCCGCCAGGGATCTACTTGTAATTTCTTTGTATCTTATTTGTTACATCACATTAATATAAAATAGAAGCTGGGCACCGCCAGAACTGATCTTTTGACTCATTTTTTTCTTCCTCTTCTCTTCTCTCTTCTCTCCCCTCTCTTCTTCCTCTTTTCTTGTAAGAGAACAATCTAAGTTGCAGGTGAGTGTTCAGTTGATTGAGGAGCCTTCCAGAATCAGGGAAGAGATTGTTAATTTTTTTACAGAGCTGTTTCCTTTTGATAGATGTTGGAGACCTTTGGCCACATGGTAAAGTCCAATCCTCTCTTTTGAGACTAGGAGCTGGCTGGAAATTTCAGTGAGGATGAAACTAATGAAGCAGTTTTCTCTCTGGATGAGAATAAGGCCCCAGGCCTGAATGGCTTCTTGTTGGCTTTCTATCAGGAGTGATAGGACACTATCAAGTTTGATCTTTTTGAAGCCTTCGATGACTTTTTCAGGTCAGCCAAAATAAATAAGGGCAACAATTCAAATTTTATTAAATTGATTCCAAAAAATGGAGGTGTGTTAGGAGTGAAAGATTTTCAGCCTATCAGCCTTATTGGCAGCCTCTCTAAAAGATAGCAGCAAAAATTCTAGCAAACATATTAAAAAGGGTGATTGGAGAAGTTGTGGCTCCTGTGCAAAGTGCTTTTATACAAGGAAGGCAAATAGTTAACAGCATTCCAATTGCTAATGAAGGTGTTAAGGAAGAGAATCAACCTTGGAGGTTTGGTATTCAAAATAGATTTTCAAAGAGCTGTTTTCTCATTAATGGCTCCCCAAGGTTTGAAATGGATTAGTTGGATGAAGGGCTGTGTTCAGGGGGAGCTAGTTCTCAGATCTCATTAATGGCTCCCCCAAGGGTTCTTTAAGGCTACAAGGGGATTGCGCCTAGCCTGTCCCTTCTCTCTGCTCCTCTTATCTTTGGTTGTATATTCTAGATGCCTTCATGCAGAAAGCAAGTGGCATGGGATTAGTCAAAGGTTTTGGGGAAGGTAGGGAGAATATTCAGCTCACTGATAACACTACTTTTCCCAGTATGACACTATCTTCTTTACTGAGGGCAAGCTAGAGTTCCTTCTCAACTTGAAGAGGGTGTTCAATTGTTATGAAGCAGTAACGGGGGTAAAAACCAACTTAGGGAAGAGTAGTATTATTGGTATTAATGTTCCCCATCAGAAGATTGTTGATATAGCATTGCTTTGGGGTGTAAAGTGGAAAATTGGCCTTTAAAGTGTCTTAGTTTACCTTTGGGAGACAACCCTAAGAAGGTAGAATTTTGAGCTTCCATCTTAGAAAAATGTGAGAGACTAGAAACTTGGAGGAAGAATTTTATTTCCAAAGCAGGTAAACTCACCCTAATCAAGGCCTCCTTGCTCTAATAGAAAAAGGTCATTACCCCATGTTGGTCCCAGCTATCTGGGATCTTGGGATGGGTAGACTGGATATGGACCTAACCTTAGGCATATTTTTGCAGAAAGTGGCCACTCTCAGATTCAAACACATGTTCTGACACATGTCAGACTGAGATTTTACCATTGCACCAAGCAATTTCTCCTTTATGCTTTCTTTCACTGAAATCTTCTGAGTTATCTCCTGAGAAAACTTACCTCATCTAATAGGAAGTCAATGGCAGCTTCATCCTCGCCAATTTCTTTTAAAGGAGCCCGCAGGAACTGGATATCCAATTGAATTTGTTGGAATCCACTCCGGTTGAAGGTCTGCATCCGGATGAATTCTTGCAAGCTCTTAAGGCATAGTTTCACTATTGTTGATAAAACTGACTCCTGAAAATTTAGAAGCAAAACATGTTATACGTTGTTCCACTTGTGACTCTTTGCATCAAGTTTAACTCATACCTGTGTGAATTCAACTTTTGTGAAAATCTCCATTTTTTGCTTAAACAACTTCGCAAGATGTGTTTCCAGAAGTTGGCTCCTGGCACGTTGGGTATTTGACCTAGTCATTTTATCTTCCCTCAATGGATTGCTACGAGAGGAAGTGGTGCTACCATTGCTGTCAGATCGACGGTGTTTACGGATGAGTCCTTGAGGTAAAATCTGCTTTACTTCAGTTCCTATTGCTTCCAACTAAGGCAATGAGAAATTCAAACACACTGTCACATTCTTCATGTAGATCACCAATAAAATCAATGTTTAATGTTATTATAGTTACAGTGTATAATGTAATAAACCTATGGGAATAGAGTGAAGAGAGATTAAAATGAACAAACCTCTTGAAGAAATAAATCAACAAACATATGAACTTCTCTGGGCTCCTTGTGCTGTAATGTCATTTATGGAAAAAGTTAGGCATGCCAATTTCAAACTGCTATCTCAATGTTCTCTCTGAAAGAAGGTAATTGAATTATATTATAAATCAAGAAGCAGAAGAGTTGACTTACAAAATGCACTGACCTTTATCCAATTAGGTGTTGTAAACCTTTTTTTCAGAAGAACTGATATTTTCTGGGTTTTCATATTTATATACTGAAAACAAAAATAAACTCGAAATTAGGTTCTTGGATAAGTTTCCAGAATCTTTTTTGACACAGTAAATGAATTTGGGGAAGAAGCATTTCTTCAATGAATTTAGGTGATAATACTATACTCAATTTTGTAAATCAGCTAGGCTAAATAACAAGGATGAGATTCTGTTTGATTTCAGCATTAGGATTATTCTATCTCATGCTGGGTTAGTACCTATCTAATATTGACCATCATGCAACAAGTACTCTTTATAGTTTCCAGTGAGAAAATGTAATAACTATTTTTAACTGTTCTAAAGCTTAGATTTAAAGATGGAATTTGAGTAGATGATAATTGGTTTGCATTGATAAAGAAAAGGCCTGCCTATGCTCTCTAAATTGCTTCTTAAAGAGGTTTTACTGTTTTATAGATCTTATGTTCAATTAGAAAAGCAAAGTTTGGTTTCTACTGAAGTAAGGGGAAAATTTTGAGTGTTCATCAATAAACTTAACCACAGCAAATTTATTTTGTAATTTGTTCTATAACAATATAAGCTGATAAGGGAACAAGATTAGGATATAAATTCCAAATTGGTGAAGGAAAAATTTCCCTCTTCTAACAACTGGATTCATAGCCATAAGAGTTTGGCAAAAATTTTAATGTTCACTGCCAACCTGACATTACCCTCCTTTATCTGGGTGTGGGACTGGTGGGACTGACACAAACCTCTTCTAACATTTAGATTCATCAGGTAAGAAATGAGTATGAAATGAGCCAGAAGCCCTCATAAAATAGAAACTAATTTTTCATATATCAACTACATTGCATTTTTTTCTAAATGATTTCCCATGACTTTGGTTAAGAATAATGATAGTGTGACAAACTAATGTCATTGTCAAAAGAAAATTCTTAATACAAAAACTAAGAAATCAGTTTAATGACAAGAAATATCTATATTCATACAATTAAATGATCTAAAAATCACATAATAAAATCTAGAGAAGCTTTTATTCATACAAGTTGCAGAAACTTTTCACCAGCTGCCCGAAACATCCTGCAGATTTCTCCAGGAACAAATGGAGGTCCATGTTCATAACCTCGAACACCACCACCAGAAAAAGAAGCTGCTATTTCCTGACAAATAGAAGATGGAACTATGGTGAGATGCCTGTCAGAGTGTGGAACTAGAAGGCCATTTCTTCAAAACCAAATCAATGCTATATGATGCCACTAAGACAGAAGAATAAAATTTTTGCAGATCCTTGCCTCGGTAATTCTAGGAATTGCATTTTGTTCTACGAAAATCGAAAGCTGGGCCAGCACAAGCACAAGTCCCATGAGCATTTTGTCTCCTTGTGTTCCATCCATTGAACCTTGATCTTGACTGGTTAAATTATTTCTTCCCGAAAGCAAAAGGAAGTGATTTTCAAGTGATCTGAAGAACTCTTGGAACCCTTCTTGCACCCAATCGATGATTAAGTCTCTTAGCTTCACTAGAAGTTCCAGATTATCATCAAGCATCTGGCGGAAGTTCTGGAATGGGCAGAGATCAAAATACAGGAGAGCAATTAGACCATGCCATGAACAATATAACAAGCATAGGTTACCAAATGAAAGCCAATGAGAAATGAAAAAGTTATAACCATTGATGAAAAAGAGAATTACATAGTTTCTAAATTGATTAAATAAAATCCATGATCTAAAACCTTGGGTTTCGGTAGGGCTTTATTTAGTTGAATCAGTAGTTGGCCCATGAGTGGTTTATGCTGACCATATTTAATCAAGAATTGGCAAAGTGATTAAACTTGCAAAGATTAAAAACTTGTAAGTTCATGCTCTTCTCACAATCTATACTTTATTTCATTAAATCAGTAAACAACTGTACTAATTTAGATTCAGGGAATTAACACTACCATTCATGTTTTCCAAGCATGAGCTTGTAATCTTTATTTAAATTTGCATTGTAACATGAGGGAAAAAGAATAGCAATGACATGCCAATTTATCTTAACTTCCTAAAGGTTAGTAATTTATCCTTCCAATCACTTTTCAAACACAGCACATGCATGTCCAATTGACAATACCATAAGCTGAGGAAAATTGTATAGCAAAGGATAAATCAGGGTAACCGGGACCTAACAAAAAAATGGTTGAGCTGGCTTGAAAGATGAGTAAGAACTGTAACAGAAATTAGGTTCAGAGAATTCTATCAGTGATTGCATAAAACTAGGACTCCTACTATTTGATTGCTATTGCTAGAATCAGCATTGCTCCATGTGATCATTTTGACATAATGTCTGACCACCAATAGCAATCAGGAACTACTGGCATTACCTTAAAAGTAAAGTTGAAAGGAGTTATTTGGTCCACTCATGTGAATTGGATGAGGTTGATCCATGAGACTCTAAAGCCAATTAGTGGTCTAATCCTCTTTATAAAGGTATTCTGTCAACTTTCCTAGCAAAACTGATCTTTTGGAAATGTTTTGTGATATACTGGTTTCCCTTATCTGGTGTAAAAATAGTCCATCGACCTGAAGTAGAAGAGGGTCTCCTGGGGGCCAGCAATGGCATCCAGCACCCTTACCTAATGCTCTGTTTTCTTAGTAACAGGACAGACATTCTTAGCTGCATGTTAGCATACTAAGGCCATGTTTTTGTTTCAGTTCTCATTCTGCCATTTCTTGCTGTTTCTTGCTAGAAAGGAATTATGGAAAAAGAATGGCCAGGAATGGTGGGAAAACAAATAGAGAATAGGTTCATTTTCCCAAAAAATGAAAGTTCTCTGAAAGAGAAATAAAAAAGAATAAAGAGTACATTTGGTTTGAGAAAAATCATATTTGTTTTATATTGTACTATACTATACAATAATATGCATGTTCAATATAATGCTGTATAACATATTTATATTATAATATACTATTATATGATATATAATATAGGGTAAATTACAAAGACCCCCCTTGTACTATGGGGTCAGTGACAAAGTCCCCCCTGAACTTTAGCCGTTAGACAAAGACCCCCCTTGGCCGTTAAGTCAGATGATGGAAAGCATTAAATTACCAAAATACCCCATTAAACTTTTTCTATTTTCTTTTTCTTTCCCTTTTTCTCTTAAAACCTATTTAACCTATTGTTTTCCTTCTTTTTGGACTCTTTCCCTCTTTTTCAATTCTTTTTTTCCTGTCAGTGCTCTTCTTGCAAAAAAAATAGAGGAGAGAGGAATCCGGCTTCAGTCCAGGCAGCTTCAGTCAGGAGGAAAACATCAAGGCCATAATCATGGTATGTGAAGTGAAACTCAAAAAGAAGGAAAACATTAGGTTAAATAGGTTTTAAGAGAAAAAAGGGCAAGAAAAAGAAAATAGAAAAAGTTTAGTGGGGTATTTTGGTAATTTAACGCTTTCCGTCATCTAACTTAACTGCCAAGGGGGGTCTTTGTCTAACGGCTAAAGTTCAGGGGGGTTTTTGTTGCAAAAAAAAAGTACAGGGGGGACTTTGTCACTGACCCCATAGTACAAGGGGGTCTTTGTAATTTACCCTATAATATATCTTAATCAATTAACATTTTTATAAAATATATAGCATAACTATATTGCATTCATATATTATTTTATATAATAAACATAAAGGAAACAAACTCATTTTGAATTATGAAGTACTGCCTATACTTGATGTTAGAAAAAACTCAGGTCCTTAAATTGAGTTCTCAAGGATAACACTTCAATAAATCATGAATCCTATAGATCACTGGATCTATCACTTATGAAATCCTAGTATTCAGTTGTAGAGGGTAATGGTTTAATGAATCCTGAATCCTATGAATTACGATGGGTTTGCACCAAGGCTTAGCACTTAGTCCTTATTTATTTGCGATAGTTATGGATAAATTGACCAAACATATTCAGGAAGGTGTCCCATGGTGCTTCTTGTTTGATGATGACATAGTATTAATTGATAAAACCAACAGAAGATTAAATGCAAAATTAAGTTTGTGGACAAATACCTTTGAAACAAAAGGTTTTAAATAAGTAGGACTAAAATAAAACATATGTAATATAAACTTAATAATAATAAGAGTACAAAACAGGGTGCACTTAGGATTTGAGACAGAGATAACTCAATGTGAGTATGTGGCCTCTTTCATACTTTGGCTCAATAAGTCATAACATGGTTCACAATATCGGTGAGATTTGGCAATATATTCCCAAAATATTCCTATATGCTAGGTGGTGATACCAAATCTTCTGGTAATATTTTTTTTCCAAATATCCCTGATATTTTTTTGATAAGTAAAAAGAAACTTCATTAAAAAGAAAAAGCAAATAAAAACCTAGATAGGTTTTGAGAGAACACCTCCACATAAAGCTAAGGAACAACAACTTCCCAAACATTTTCCTATGAAAGACTTTTTCACCCAAATCCCAACCCAATACCCCTCCAAAAATCTTACAAGAACCAACCACCCCAAAAGAAACATAAAGACAAAACCCAAAATTGCAACAACCGCAAGAGCACACAAGCTAAGCCCGGGAACCAAAAGCAGAACAGCCACAGAAACATAAGCCTCACCTTTTCACCTGCATCATACCAGAAAACACTTTACTCTTCATCAATGATGCCAGTCTCCTCTCCTTTGCCTTCCTCCCATTTCCCACCCCCCCCATCAACTACAGTCTTCTTATTACTTTCCTGCCTTCTATCCTGTTCAAATTGTTCGATTGCCTTCCTCACCACCGCTTCTCCCCCCAAAAAGAAAAGACCAAGAAATTTCCCACTGCCAACTGTCTATCTACTAGTTGATCAATGCCAACTTTTCCTCTTTCCATTGTATTTGCCTTGGGAGTTTCTTCAGCTTTATTCCTTCCTATTTCCTTTCCCCCCTCACTACTTCCCCCTTTTTCAATATTTTTCTCCTCAGCTTTCTTCCTGCTCTCTCTCTCTCTCTTCCTCCAGATTCCTCTCAAAATCCTTTATGTCAGTGCTCTGAGCCTTCTTATCTGAATCCACAGCTAAACTGTCTTATCACCTTTGTTTGTGAGACAGCTCTGATTTCTAGCTGTGAGCTTACATCCTTTCCTTTTGTATTTTCTCTTGAATCTGCCACATGGACCATCCCCAACCAGTCCTTCCTTGAGGCAATGAAAAACCTTTGTGACATGAATGAGCTGCCCATTGCTGGATGCCTGGATCCTTTCTTTTTTCTCAGCTCCCCTGCCTTGGGGTTTTCATGAATCATGATTAGTCAACTTCGACACTTCTTCAACTCTCTTCCTCCCCAGATCCCTCCCCAACTTTCCAATGAAAACTAAAGAACTCAAAACTTCTTCACCCACCCTCTTATCAAACTCATCACTTGTGACTCCCCCTAATTCCTGGACCAAACCTTTACTACTGAAGTCACAAGAGGGAACCGTACTGTTTGATGAGTTGAAACTCACATTTTATTTGGAAAGTCTTCTTTATTCTGGTTTCCACTCATTTCAACTCTTTCCGCCACTCCGTTGCCCTCCTTTGCCCCATATGGAACTTTGGAAATTTCTTTCACTGGATGAACACCAAATTCCTTGGCGGAAACATTTTCTTGTGCATCGCTGTCTTCAGAAAACCATGAAAGTGCTTTGGAAACACACCTCTCTGCAGTTGTTTCAACTTCCAACTGCTCGGAAAAGCTCAATTCCTCTAGTCTCATGAACTTCGTAATCACCGACTCCCAAAGCTCCTTCCTCTTGCCCTGGAAGCCAGCAGACCTTGAAGCAATTTGTTTAAATCCTATTCTCTTCTTTGCCCTCAACTGCGAAGATGTATCCTCATGGAAGTGCTTTGGAAACACACCTCTGCGGTTGTTTCAACTTCCAACTGCTCGGAAAAGCTCAATTCCTCTAGTCTCATGAACTTCGTAATCACTCACTCCCAAAGCTCCTTCTTCCTTGATGTAACTTTATAGTTATGTGCCCAGGGGCACTCTTGTCTTTTTACCTTCTATTTTTTATAGTCACCCTATCTTATAAATACAAAATTACTGGCACCACCAGTTTGAGTTTTTGGTCAAAATTCTTCTTGCCTATTCTCTCTCTCTCTCTCTCTCTCTCCTCTCTTTCTTCTTTTTCTTCTCCTCTCTCCTCTTGATCGAGATCATGGTATCAGAGCAGGGCATCGCTCTGTAAGAGGCATCTTATCTGATCGAAGGTTTTGCAAAACACATATCTGGACTGAAAGTGGAGAAAACAAGTTCGACCCTGCATTGAGATTCACTGGTGGATCCTGTTCTCTCTTTTTCTAACAGAAACGGAAAAGAAAACAAGTTCGACAGATGATTGACTGAGTTCTATTGAGGTCAGTAGTTGTTTTTTTTCTCTTCTCTCCCATTCGTCTGTGGACTGTTTCTCAGAACTCATCAAACTGATCAGGAACCTATACTGAAGTGATTGTTTTCATTGGTTCTTGGTATTGTTACCAAGAACACCTTGAAATCTGCTCTAGCCGAATGGTGTAGACTGGTTTAATACCTCTTGTGGGTCTGTGACCCAAAACTGTG